TGACTCCACCGCTGAGCGCTGCCGTGCCGGACATGCTGGAGCTCCAGTATGAGCTGGAGTCCAAAGCAGTGAAGTGGTACGCCACTATTGACATTGCCAATGCATTTTTCTCCATTCCCCTGGCAGCAGAATGCAGGCCTCAGTTTGCCTTCACGTGGAGGGGAGTGCAGTACACTTGGAACCGACTGCCTCAGGGGTGGAAGCACAGCCCCACTATCTGCCATGGACTGATCCAGGCTGCCCTGGAAAAGGGTGAGGCTCCAGAACATCTGCAGTACATTGATGACATCATTGTGTGGGGGAACACAGCAGTGGAAGTATTTGAGAAAGGAGAAAAGATCATCCAGATTCTGCTACAAGCTGGCTTTGCCATCAAGAAGAACAAAGTCAAAAGACCTGCTCGAGAGATCCAGTTCCTGGGAGTAAAGTGGCAAGACGGACGGCATCAGATTCCCACTGAGGTCGTCAATAAGATCGCTGCAATGTCTCCACCCACCAGCAAGAAGGAAACACAAGCTTTCTTACGTGCCATAGGTTTTTGGAGGATGCACATTCCTGAGTACAGCCAGATCGTGAGCCCTCTCTACATGGTTACCCGAAAAAAGAACACTTTCCAGTGGGGCCCTGAACAGCAGCAAGCCTTTGCTCAGATCAAACAGGAGATTGCCCATGCAGTAGCCCTTGGCCCAGTCAGGACAGGACCAGACGTGAAGAACGTGCTCTACTCTGCAGCCGGGAACAATGGCTTATCCTGGAGCCTTTGGCAGAAAGTGCCTGAAGAGACTCGAGGCCGACCACTGGGATTCTGGAGGCGAAGCTACAGAGGGTCCGAAGCCAACTACATTCCCACAGAGAAGGAAATCTTGGCTGCCTATGAAGGAGTTCAAGCTGCCTCAGAAGTGACTGGCCCAGAAGCACAACTCCTCCTGCACCCCAACTGCCAGTGCTGGGGTGGATGTTAGTTAGCAGACAGTTGGTCAGGACTACACACAGCACAATTACCATAAGCAGTTTGTTCCATGCAAATGACAGCATGCCTGCAGAATCACAGCTAAGGCTTTAAAGTTAAATGAACTTTTAACTATGATCACATTAACTCTTGAAGGGGGAATACTTACACTTTATACTAATATCTTTTCTAAACTTATCAATAACCTACAAATAACAATTATCACACAAGCTACACTCTTTATCTTAAACTACTATCTAACTACTTTTAACACATGTGCTCTGGTATTCATGCAATCTAAGCGTGAAAGCAATTTGCTTAAAGGGTAAAATACAATTACAATTTGCTTTTATATACAGTTAGATGGAGTCTCTATACTCTTCTAGATCTTCTATAAAACTCTTCTCACAAACAATGATTTAACGTGATTCAGTCTTGGAATATCCGCTGCTCCTGTGATGTCAACTGGCAGCTGATCGGTGACTGAGTGAGGGCATCGATGTTCAGCTTGTTCTTCACATCTTCTAAATCTTAAAACAGAGAATAACTGAAAAAAATCGGTAGAGACACAACATCATAATAACAACATGAAATTTCTGTTGGCAAACTGTCTGTGTAGTGCTCAGACACAACTGTGTCCTGACAGCTCCACTTCTGATCTTGTTTGGAGTATTAAGGCTGTGTGGTGACGTCTGTGTTTACTGGATCTCATGTTTTCAAAGGCAGACAGTCTGGTCAGATGAACAGGTGACCTTTTTTCAATCTGTTAACAAAACACAGGCATTTCTCCCCTTGAAGTTAATGAATTACATTAATCAAATGCTTCTAAGGCATCAATTCCCCCCATTTTTTAAAGAAAAAAAATAAAAAAGTACATGGACTGCCCGCTCTGCTGCTGCTCTCTGCTGCTGTTATCTCTAGAAGGTTTGAGCAAAGTCTCCGTCATCCCCCACACACTCTCGCAGAGAGGAAAACGGAAAGAAAAACCTCACAAAGGTAACTTTAACAAATGCAGTTCTTTCTCTCAATATTTCTCTCGTTGTTCACAGATAGAGGAAAAAGGGCACGATTTTACAAAAACAGGCAATGTTACACGAAAAGCCTCTCAGGGCCAGGTGGTAACAATGGTGACCATTGCAGCTTATCAACTTTTAATTACAGTGATAAATTTCGAAGTTAGCAATTTTTTGGCTGTTTTGTCTCTCTTTGAAGCCACCTGTCTGAGACACCTGTTTCTGCTCAACTGCTTCTGTAATTGTCCAGCATGGCCTTGGAGATTTTTTTTCTGCTCTGCCTCTGCCCTGGGGGTGCCTTTGTTCTCTGCACACACCTCAGTGCTTTCCCCCATGTCCCCCTGGTTTGGGTAGAAACCAAGCTAAATTTGGCTTCTCTTCTTCCAGGGTAGTAAAGTTGGAGCTTAAATAAGACTGTAGTGTTAAAAGTGTCTCCAAAAGTGAAGCAAATAGTTCAGGACGTATCACATCCTGCCGTAGCTGAACAGATTCTGTTTGTTGTTTCAGCATTTGCTGTGGAATTTCTTTCTCATTATTTTCTTCTCTCTGACTCTCCCTCCCTCTCTCCAAGGACGGCATAGACAGGAATGCTCACCCAGCAATGGGAGGTAGAGACGGCTGCTGTGACACAGGTAGAATTACAGGGCTCACAGCCTCAGCATATCTCACTTTACTGTTTTTTAAGGTATTAATTACAATCTGCCAAGTGGGACCGAGAGACAGAGTGTCCTTGCTTTTCCCTGTAATTATTCTCTGTCACAACAAATCTCCTGTATCTTTCGATTCTTCCGGGCACCCGCGCCTATTATCTGTAGCCCATAAAACGAGCTTGTCCAGGTCTTATCCCCTGACTGCTTTGCCTTGTTTAATGAGAATACTCAGAAGCAGCTTTTTCGCTGCTGCAAACTCAGTTTCCATGCTAACAGCACATGGCAGGGGGAAGGTCACGACCCCTCACTTACTCCTCCGCCTTCGGTCTCCCCCAGAGACCTGCCTCCTTTTTCCACATCTCACCGCGCCGTGTCTCACCGCGCTCAGGTCGCCTATTTGGTACCGATCCACGTCCGCGGCTTCCAGCGCCCAGATTCACTCCACCGGCTCCACCACTGAATCCCCTCAGCCCATGAGAGGTTCCTGTTCAGAGCGCCAGATATTGAGAGACTATTCACAAGTCTTCACAGAAGTAAAAGTGAATGCCATTTATTTCTATCTTTAGCACCTTTTATAGTGTTTGCCAGGACCTGAGGTCTAAGCAAGTTACTATTGGCTAATACACATTGGTTTACATTTTTTCTCTTAGACACAAGGATATTGTTTTTCTTCATTCTCTCTGCTTCAGGGAAGTTTCAAGGACATTAGCCTTTAATATCACGACTTATGCCAAAGGCTGGTTTGTGCAGACAGGCCTTTACTAAAATATCATGCCCACCTTCTGTTAAAATATTCTCTACACCAGTGTCTCCATCTGCCTGCACTGTGCAGCCACGGAGAAGAGCAGAGAGGGAAGGGGCCAGGCTCAGGGCTGTGCCCCGGGGCTGTGCCTTGCATGGCTCCTCTGCTGGCCTCAGGGAGCCTGAGCTGCTCCTGCTGCCACTACCAAGCCCTGNGTGGATTTTACTGAGATGCCCCGAGTGGGGAGATTTAAATACCTTTTAGTAATAGTATGTCAATTAACAGGGTGGCCAGAAGCCTTCCCAGCTGTTTCAGCAACTAGAGGGTCAGTTATTAAAGTATTTTTGGAACAAATAATCCCAAGATATGGGATGGTAGAAGCGATAGACTCAGATAGAGGAACTCATTTTACTGGAAAAGTTCTTAAAAGAGTAATGACTGCTTTAGAGATACAATGGAACCTCCACACTCCCTGACATCCCCAAAGCTCAAGCCAGGTTGAAAAGATGAATAGAGAAATAAAAAAACATCTTCTGAAGCTAGTGATAGAAACGAAAATGCCATGGCTGCGGCTCTTACCACTAGCTTTAGCAAGAATCAGGGCCAGACCCAGGGAAGATATTCAACTGTCTCCTTTTGAATTGATGTTTGGAATTCCTTATCCTTGTAATTCTCAGCCTGGGGCGGGGGTAGAGATAAGTGATGTATATCTAAAACAGTATGTGGCTCGGATACTGTCTCTTGTGAAATCTCTTCGACAGGAAGCTCAGCTGACACAGACCCTGCCTTTGGACTTTGCTGTGCATAATATCCAACCAGGAGACTGGGTCCTAGTTAAGGAGTGGAAAGAAGCACCCCTGGTGGCTAAGTGGCGTGGACCTTTCCAGGTGTTGCTGACCACAGAAACAGCCGTCAAGACAGCTGAACACGGGTGGACACATCACACTCGAGTCAAGGTCGCTAAAGCTCCAGAGGTTTGGACATCTCAGCTCGAGGAGAAGGATGGGAAGCCGCGACTGACACTCCGCAGGAGTGGACTGGAGCAGTAGCTGGTGCGTCGACATCAGGGGAAGCCCTGAGTGCCTACCCACAGACTGCCTGCTGAAATAGTCTGTATGGGCATCCCTACTCTCAAATCTCCAGCCACTGGGAGCCAATCCATGCTGTCATTGCTTTCTTTATGCTAAGCTGTTTCTGTGCTTTCACTTGCCACAGGTGGTGTAGAAGACAACGTGAAATTGAAAATTAGAAATTAGACTATAACACTATTAGAATGTTTCTCTTAATATTTTTACCTTTATATTTTCAGTTAAGTTGGAGTCTAAAGTGGGAAAATAAGTTTTTTTACTTTAAGAGAACAAGTAGCAAAGACCTTTAACCTTAGAAACTGCTGGGTCTGCGGAGGGCCAGGGGGATCTGAAAGCTGGCCATGGGTGGCCAGCCCAGTCGAGCCTAAATGGTGGGTTAGCACCCTGAGTGAAGTCCATAATGGAACTGGATTTTGGGACAAAGAAAGAAGTCCATGGCAGCTTCATTCTTCTGAAAGAGGCATTTATTGCTTAAACAGAACAGGAAGCACATATGTGGGAAAGAGCGTTTGTGACTGGACTTTATCTTTAAGTTTAGATTGTTGGATCCCCAACTGCCCTCCTTATGACTGTTCCAGAGATAGAGGCAGATAGAATCAAATGCATGTTAAGCTCACTAATGGTAGCTGGGTAAAGTGTTCCTTCCATAATTACCAAAAATATTTTGAAGGCTGTAAAGCAGTGGGGAAAGATAAGTTTTTTGACCCTTTATTTTTAAGCTGCCCCTGGGATAATTCCACAAGTCAGACACATGTTGTCCGAGACTATCAGTGGAAATGGCAACACCGAAATGGAACTAGAACCCTTTTTAACAGGTTC